GTGGAAGGCGGGGCCCACCCACCCACACCACCGCTCCCCCCTCCCTCTGCCACCGCCTCTCCAGCAGGCGGCACGCTGCCAAGATCAAAGCTGTGCCAATGCCAAGGAGAAGGGCTATTTTTACCATCTTCCGTGTCCCCCCCCTTTTGATCTCACCCTTTTCCGATTTAACTGGGGCATCTCCGTCTAAAATAAACAAAACACACACACCCACCCCCGTTGTCAGGAGGCAGCTAGGCAGACGGAGCCGGCATCTCCCGCCCAGAAGCCTCCCTCAAGCCCTCGGCGGTACAGGCGCTCTGAACGTGCTCAGGGGCACTCTTCGCACTGCCCCGGCAGCCACCAACAAACCTGGGCTTGATTTCAGTTCTCTGTGGACGCGGGTCAGGCCTTCATAGAACCTCAGGGGGGATGAGAAGCAGGTATCCCCCCCACCCCAATCCTCACACACCGCTGGCGTATTTGAGTCCCTGCCAAGTCCAGAAAGGGTGCCAACCAGTGTTCCCTCTAAGCTGAGTTAGTGTGAGCCAGCTCACAGTTTTTTAGCCTCTGGCTTCACACATTTTTGTCTTAGCTCAGGATGGGATGGCTCCAGAGCAAAACTGACTGATGCAGCAGCCAAATCCCTGGCTCACAACTTGAATGCCAGCAGCTCACAAAGTGGAATTTTTGCTGACAAGGCTCCACAGCTTAGAGGGAACACCGGTGCCAACTGGCATCCGGGCGCTGACAGCTGTACCTCACCCCCCTCCCCGTTCCACAGCCAGGACAGCAAGAGCTAGCCGTGGGCCGGAAGGCCGGAGAAGGCAAGGGACTGGGCGATCCGGACCATCGTTTGTGCCCTGTGCACGTTGTTGCCAGCTCTGCTGGCTCCAGGTGCGAGGAGGGCCTAGCCACGCCCTGCATGAAGCCGTTTTTTTTTTTTAAATGTACAGTTCTCATGGCTGTGGAGCAGTGTGCTTGGGGCAGTGTGTAGAGCAGAAGGCCTAGAGACTGTCTTCAGGGTCTTGGTGGGAAAGGGGGATAGAATCTGTGGCTCATTGACAGAGCCTCGGCTTGGCAGGCTGGAGGTTGCAGGTTCAGTCCCCAGCATCTCCAGTTAAAAGAAGGAGAAGAGAGAAATTGGATTTACCCCGTCCTTCAGTTGGAGTTTACAAACTCCTTTCAGTTCCCCTCTCAATAACAGACACCCTGTGAGGTAGGTAGGGCTGGGAGAGCTCTTTTGAGAACTGCTCTTGATAGAACGGCTCTGACAGAACTAGGGCTTGCCCAAGGTCATCCAGCAGCCAGGTGCAAGTGGAGGAGGAGTGGGGACTCAAACCCAGTTCTCCCAGATTAGAGTCCGCGCACTTAACCACGACACCAAACCCTGAGCTCCTTGGCGGAGGGGGGGAGCAGAGAGGAAAGCATAACTGAAAAACTGGGCGGGGCAGGGGAGCTCCGATGCCCTCTTCTCTCTCCTCCTCCTCACTGTCCCTGGGGATGCCCGAGACAGGCCAAGCAGCCACCCGCCAGCTAACCAGGATCAGAGTTCCTCTTCCCCACCTTGTAGGAGAGCCAGTCTGGTGTGGTGGTTCGGAGCGCGGACTCTAATCTGGAAGAACCGGGTTTGATTCCCCCACTCCTCCTCCACATGCAGCCAGCTGGGTCAGTCACAAGTTCTCTCGGCGCTGTTCTCTCAAGGGCAGTCCTCAAAAGAGCTCTCTCAGCCCCACCTCCCTCACAGGGTGTCTGTTGTGGGGAGGGGAAAGGAAAGGAGTTTGTCAGCCACTCTGAGACTCCTTCGGGTAGTGAAGGGTGGGGTATAAATTCAATTTCTCCTCCTCCTCCTCCTCCTCCACATGCATATGCTGGTGTGACCTTGAGTCAGTCACAAGTTCTCTCGGAGCTGTTCCCTCAGGAACAGTCCTCGAGAGAGAGCTCTCTCAGCCCCGCCTACCTCACAGGGGTGTCTGTTGCGGGGAGGGCAAGGGAAAGGAGTTTGT